AAAAACTGAAGAAATAGTTTGTATATATACAGACAGACGGACATGGCTAAATGAACTCAGCTCATCATGCTGATCATTTATGTATACATTGTATTTAATAGGGTCGCCGACATTTCCTTCAGGGTGTTACAAACATCGTGGCAAATCCCTGTTCAGGGTATAATAAGCGATATATTCTCATTCCATCCTTGACCCTATAAAACCAGCTTGACAACTCCTTCAGCCGCCGTACATTCCCAAACAATTACACTACCTCCTCCATGTTTCACAGTTGTTACAAGATTTTCTTTTTTAGAAGGTTTTACCGCTTTTACGCCGCAAATGCTTGAATTTCTTCTAATACCAAATATGCTTTCATCCGAGAATAGGACCTTTTCCCAAAATTCTGGAGGCTGTTTATATACGTATTTTCAAAATCCATGTTTTTCTTTCAGTTTTTTCAAAAGTTTGCACGACGTTCTGCATAGAAGAAGAGAGAGCTCTTCGTTCTCTTTTGTTTTAAGCGTTAAAAGTCTTTAAAAGTTACCATTTCGAAATATGCAACAAACTATAAAAGAATATCAATGCTAAGTAATTATAAAAGGAAATAGACCAGTTAATTGCATTTATTAAATTTATTCGTAGATATTTTATTTTGACGCATGCACGGAGACTTTTTTGGTAAGTGTATATATTACGGAGTATACTGTGCCTCTATATACTGCCACCAGTTCCTTAGGACATACTCAGAAGATATATTTGCACACCTTCAGTGCTTTTGTGGCCATGAACACGGATTTCTTGAACACTTAAGCGCATTGATGAAAAATACGATGATAGCTCTGGAGGGATTGATGTTAAGTTTTACATCGTTGTACCATCCTGGTAACCACGCTCACTTCTCTATTCCCAATGTTGGAAAGGCTATTTTTGAAATATACTTAACCCGTTTCCTTCCTCTGTTGCAAATCGCAACGTTACTTTTCTAAAACTTCAATATGCCGTGGGTGTGAGGTATCGCGATAAATTTTTTTTGTTCGGAAGAAATACCCTTAGGGTTTCACCCCTCCATATCCCAACCACCTACAAAACACACTAGACACATGTTCTTCAGAAAAGGGTTAAGGGGTTTCCTCGAGCAAAAAATGGCATATTTTCAATAATTTTTTTTTTTCATATGAAAAAATTAAATATATTATTCAAACTTTTTATTTTTCTAAAGATACATATTTTACAAAGAAATGAAATTTTCTAAGGAGAAATATTCAAAACGCAGCCTTTATGACGTTGTTGTTGTTGTAGCGGCCCTAAGTATTATCTAGGAATGCCGCCGAGTTGACAGTCCTTGGGAACCGACCCGCCTTAATGACGTCATTTTCGGCAGTCCCTCGGAAAAAGGGTGTTTTCGTGTTGACAGCAGAACTTCTTACAGTACCATCAAAAACAAAAAACAAAAAAATACGTGTTCTAATTAAGACCATACACTAGGTATTTAATGAAGGAAGAACAAAAAAATTAAAATTGTATTTTTGGCAGACGTGTTTACAAAAAAATGCAAATGTTGGTGAAAATTTTTCGACGTTTTTATTTTTTTAAATTGTTGTAATGGAAGACCTGTGTAAAATTTAATTAAGATCCGTGGGGTAGTTCTCGAGAAATCTTGACGGCCGACTTGGGAAACCAGTTTCGAGAAAAACGCATTTAAAGCTTTTAGTGACTATATAGCTGACATCGAGCGCGCAAATTTTCAAGGCTCTATCTCCAAAACTGTTACTCGTATCAACTTGAGAATTTTGAACAATATTCTAGAGATGTTATAGAATTAAATAATACAAATAAAATTAAAATATCTTTTGTTTTGAACCCCATGTAACTCTTTAAGCAGCCAACATTATCGCATCGATGCGGTCTATTAGTGTCAAAACTGAATTACAATACAATCGAATATACCTCCTGGCTGAAAGCTTTGCCTTTCTATGTATCTTTACACGCTCTTTTCTCCAGCGGCTTACGCAGAAACTACACAAAAAAATTTGCATTTTTCACACATAAAAATGTACGGGATAGCAAAAATTATCGATTGATTTTAGAAAATACTTCATAGAGCACATACAAACACCCGTTCATCGTTGAAATAAAATTTAAAAGACGCGCATGAATATATGCGTAACTTGTCGAATGGTTGAGAGCCGAGGTTTCAAGTGACGTTTTACGGACGAATAACGAGAATAACGACCCCACTGTAGTACTATCAAAGTACAGTTCGAATCAAAATGAGAGCATTAATTACCTTATTCTGTGATTGTACGACTAAAACTCCCTTTGTGTCCACCCTGATTTTCTCAATCACACGCATTTTATTAATTAATAAAAAATTATTTCTTTTTGGGTTTTTTTTTTGTTTACTTTTATTTTCTAAAAAATTCTTCTTCCCTTCAGATTACTCAGGTGTTGTTAAAAATTTTATTTTAATCGTACAAAAATAAATCACAAATGCAGAATTTACGAAAGAAAGTTACATAATATGTAATTTAAGAATGTATGCGTGCGTTTGAATGTGAACACAACTTTGACACTTTATGTAGCAGCATACAAACGATTTCTTTCGCTATTAACTACATACATAAAGAGCTCATTCTTCCGATGTAATTTACATACTTCGTTAATTTTTACTGTTATGTTTTGTTTTTATTTCTTGGTTTACTTTTAATGCAGCAATAATTTCATTTATATAAGTATTAAATAAAAATATCCGTTATTATAACTATATGCTATTCATTTACAAGTATATATGTATATGTACATATATGCAAATCTATATGTATACATGTACTTATATGTATGTGTAATTCAATGCGATTAAATTACATATTCTTATGTAGTGTCTAGAAAATAATAGTTTTTATTTAGTTTATGTTAATAAAAGCTATGTTATAACAAAATATTGATTAAAAGTTAAAAATATAAATTTATATGCAGTATATAACAAATTTTGTTCGATATTTTCGGAGTGACGGTTAATGTTTCTGTGTTTTTTCATACTTTGCTTGAAAATATTTTAGGTTTTCAGATGGATTAAAATAAATTGTGTACAATTCTATTGGGCGCAATATAAATTTACGCTTTATACAAGATTTCATCTTTCATTTCTAGAGGGTTTTTGTTTTTATACTAATTGATGATACGCATATACATACACATCTACGAGTAATAGTTGATTTCCAATATCACATCCGTATATAACAGAGGACATTCGACTGACTATGTGTTGGTTATCGTACAATTACAATGAGAAGGAAACCATCTTCTGACATTCTACAGTTAAGCATCCTTTCGTTTTCTTAGACATTTTGCTAACCAATAACCGCACTCGTTATTCACACCTTTTCCATCCCAGCTGGTAGGCAATTTAGATTGTGTATTTATACATTTATAAATACATAGGGTTGTATATATTTACATATATGTATGTATATGCGAAAGTGTGCGTTCACATGTGATAAATGTGTGCATGATGAATGATGGAAAAATTAGCGTAATTGTATAAATATAGAAATTAGTTAAAATGCACTTACATATGTACATATTATAATACTCGAGCGTAGATGACAAATGAGATGAGAGTTAATGATTGAACGAAGCGTAAATAGATGAAAATATACAAGTTAAAGGCTAAATATATTGTACAGCTAAATAAAAATTTATTTATGGCTGAGAAAATGTTTTTTTTGGTTTTAGTTTTTTTGTTTTGGTTACACAGAATATTTATTGTAGAGATAAGAGATACTAAACGTTTACCAAAAACAGACGAAACAACACACATACAAACATGCCAAATGTTCTATATATGTATATAATTGCATATAATTTACATACTCAGATGTAGATGTAAAAATATTTGCAACATTTATTGCTAGTTCGCATTTGTGCATACGAGTATGCAATAAAATTAGTATTTATGTTCTGAAGCGATGTACAACACACATACATACAAATACCTATTCCACATGCTACATTTATATTTTTTTATCTTCAATTTCAGCATAATGATTTGTTAATTTACAATTAACTAAAGCCATTTGTCACTAAACCACAATATAGATAAATAGATTCAAATTTCAATCAATTGAAAGAAACATTACAAAGAAGCCCCAAAAAAAGTGTATAAAGCATTAGCTTAAAATAGTTATAGTTATGTTTATAGTATAATTTATATAATAATACAATGCGTGGTTACCAGTGGTTATCGGATACTATAACACTTTCCATCGTTTTATCAGCAGATGTTTTTGAATTTCAGTCCAACACATTTTGGGTACGAAGCCTTAGAGTACCGTAGTGATACTTTAACATGCATTAAAAATAATAAATGCAATTTAGGTAGGAAAACCTACTTGCATAATTCTCTCTTCCCTTCGCTCGTTTGCAATGTGTCTTAAATTTATAAATTTGCATTTCTTTAAAAGAATTCAATTAGTTTTATTTTCTTATTTTAGTGCTACTTGAAGTTAAACGCACTTTATAGTTGTTCTTAGTCTAAAATTTTAGTAAAAAATGAACGAATGTCAAGCACTGCCATTGAACGCTAAGAAAAGAAGTAGTGTTTTGTACAAAAAAAAATAGAATACAATAAATTTATAGTAAATGAAGCAAACCACTAAAAATTATGAAATGATTAATATACAAATAATTTTAATTTACTCTTTTTTTTAGTTGTGTTTTGGCTAACTCGACATCCGTTCATTTATCATAATAAGCAATATGAATTTTCGTGAATTTACATCAATCAGATGAAAATTTCAGTTCTCATATATTGCTGCCCTTGTCCGTCAGCATACCCTCATTTCTACTACTACTACTATCTATTGTTTAGGTTCCTTCAATGTTTTACAGAACTGCATAAATTAAAACTTATATTTATATACTACTACGATTATGTTTTCACAATCATACTAATACCACAATTATTGATCCAGTAAAACGTTTCTCAGCTTTTTTTGAAATAAATATTTGCATACATATTTCATGGTTTTTGATTTCAGTTGTGATTCTATTCTTTATATAACATATACCATATATTTTTTAAGTATGCTATATATCAACCATTCTTATGTGTTTTCGATTTATCTGTGAGGTTCAAATACATCTGGTAATAAAGTAACATTGTTAGTTCAAAACGATGTTTTACTTTACCAACATATTGCAGTTATAATTTTATATGTATTCATTGGTTAAAATTATTTTATTATACATGAATTTTATTAATATTTATAATTATTAATAAGAATCTCAAAACATTTCAGCAATTCGCGTTTGTATTCTGTAATGTGCGAATAAAGTCAAGTAAAAACGCAAAGCTAGATCTAATTTTTTATATTTGTATATACTTAGTACAATATAATCTGAAAATAAATGCGAAATGCTAAAATGTTCTCAAATCCTTTTTTTTATCAAAGATCTTACTACATTTTTTTTGTTTTCTTTTTAGTTTTATGCATTTTCATACTTTTTTTGTATTAATAAAGAAAACTTTATCTTTACCTTTTTATATATTCTACTATTTCATTATTCATATTCATGTAGGTAGTCTCCATTGACGCACTATCCGTTACTTGGCCTCAGCATTTACGTTTGTACTAGACCGCGTATATCAGCAATATTGCTTGAATTTAAGCTCCCACCACCACCTCCTCCTACACTGTTGCTACCACTATCAATAAATAGTGTTGACGTGTCAATGCCGGACGTAGCATCTGGGGAATGCATCATGCCCATTTTGCTACACATAACATCGGTATCAGCTAAGATATCATCATCATCAGGAAATTCTCCCAAGAAATCAATATCTGAGCCAATGGTCTGTTGTAGACTTTTTAGATGTTTATCAGCCAATTCAAGAGCTCGTTCAACTTCTTCGCGTTCTTCTTGATGTACTAAAAATATATATAAAAAAATATGTTTAACTTCAGAAAAGAGTTGTGTTCTTTAGGCCTGACAAGATTTCAGCCATAGAGAAAAGATTATGTTATATTGCAAAATACATTTTTTCAGGAGCTTTGCATTCGGCTTACTGTAGCTCTGTAAACTACTCCTTGTTATTCTTACTAGACGAAATGACCCCATTACATATTGACATGGTAAATACATCTTTCCGCAACATGCAGTCTAACGGACATAAGCCCCCGATAAATGAAGACATATATATGGTTATATACAGATATTAATTTCGCCGGAAATACGGGTCCATTCTGGTTACGTAGACCCGGCTTTTGAGATACGCTTTCGATATATATTATTAAATATTTATACCCTGAACATGGTATTATACGTTTGCCAAGAAGTTTGTAAAAACCAGAAGGAAAAGGATAAAATAAAAATATATATATTGTATATAAATGATCAGCGTGATGAACTGAGTCGATTTAGCCATTTTTCAGACGTCCTTTTCTACTGTAGCTGTTCATTTGTCGACACTGCCAATATCTTGTATGTCAAAGTTTTTAAGCTGGCAAGATATCGTTCTGGAATTTGGCAGGGATTATTGTCCATGAAAAATGTATTTATTTAAATGGAATACAATTTCCGAACAAATCTGTTCCGATCGAACTTAATATAAACTTATAGCTGCATTACAAACTGAACGATTCGCTTCGGTTTAACTGAATATAACGTTTTTTCTTGTTTTTTATTGAAAGCTCATACTTGTGTGTAAAATGTGCAACAATAATAATGGAATGGCACAGTTATCGAGTATCGGCGGAAAAAGCTATGTGTTTATGCATAGATAGAAATGTGATGTGAAATGTGAAACAGACACATAAGCAGATTTCTTCTGCTACAATCCCCAAAAAAGAATGTAGTTCAAACTAAATGACGGCAACTCTTTTGAGCAGAGATTGTAGGTTTATTTAAAGACGTGAAGTGGGCACCTGTCTTTTAAGACGGAAAATCTTATACTTCTCTTAATGTTCCAATCTAAAGAAAAATTGACAACATGGATGTAAAAATCTTTGGAATTTCTTCAAATCTATAGAGTAATTTTAAAGTATTTTGTAAGAGCAAATAGTAAAATATCATTCATTCACTGAGCGGGTTAAAGCAAGAATTCGAATTACCGTTAAACGCCTGTCGGACAAAGTTTATTTTATTTTGACCGATATTCGAGCTTAACACACTTAATAATATTTTACTTAAATAACAAAGCGCTGAACAATGGATATATGAAATATTCATAGTTCTAGATACTGTAAATATCTAATATTATATCGATTATAAAAAGCAGAAAATTCAAATATCTAATATTATATCGATTATAAAAAGCAGAAAATTCAACGATATCTAAAAAAATTTATTTTAATAATTATTGATTTACCTGCTGTAAATAACTCGTTGAATGCGTCCTCTGGCAGGGCACTAAGGACATTTGCTAGGTCATGTTCCTCTAACAAGCGTGTATCTCCCAACGGTATGTCGTCTGCACAAAAATGTTGAACAAAAATTATTACTAACTACTTTCATAGAATTTCTGTACATTTTAACTCACCTGCATCATTGGGACCCACCATCAGCTCAGTCTCACTCAATCCGCCCAAACCGGTATCCTCAGAACTGGCATAGACTGAGCTGTTCTCACAAACACTTAACAATTCTTGACGGAACAGCTCCTCTGTTGATGAGGGCAATGATGATGATGAGCCCAGCGCCGATGTGAAGTTAGAATCACAATTTGAACTCATGTAATTATAAGTGTTGTTCATGCTGCTGTTGCTATATGCAGTGAGACTATTGCTATTTTCATTATTATTGTTGTTATTACTGCTAACTGTAACAGAGAACTGTGCAACCAGTTGATTAATTTCATGTGGCTTCAAATTTTGAGCCATTACATTTTCGGTTCCACCAAGAGTTGCAGCGCTATCGCGGCTGCTTGTGCTGAAGTTAAGCATACGTTTTGGCACCGAACCCACCGTCAAAGTGCTGCTAACGATAGGCGCATTGTGGCCGCTGAGCGGTGCCAATGCAGGCATAGCTATTTGGGTTTGAGATTTAACACTTATGTTCGAAGAAATGTAATGCGGCTGGGAATTGGAGGATTGCGAGTTACTTGCAATCGATTCCAGTGAGGTGGTGCTGCCCTTTCGCTGCAACACTGCTGAAGTCAATTGCATTGGAGCTACTGCTACAGACACAACTGGTCCAGATGGTGATTCGTTAGTTCCTCTTTTACGCGAACGCTTTTGTGGTCGACCGACCGTATTGGACCCGGCTGTATTGGGGACTTTACGTTTTCGTGTGGTTGTCGCTTTTATATTGACGCATTTCTTGTTCTTGCCAACTGTAGCAGTGCTATCTAGGTTATGCTGCATATGTGTCTGTTGTTGTTGTCGCTGCTGCTGCTTATGCTGATGCTGAATTTGTTGTAGTTGTCGTAACAAATCACCGGCATCACAATCTAGAGAAGATTGAGTCATTGCTGTATCTACAGTAGCCGTGGTCAATTTGTGACTCCCAACTCGCTGTTGATCATGCACGACACGATTATAGGCATCACGCTTGCGCGCATGCTCTACACAAAGTGGCAGATCGTGCATTATATCAAATACGGGAATGCGGCATTGAGTGTTGTCGGCGAATTTCGCGGTACACGGCAAGAAGATATGCTGCGAGATGTTGTCCACAATGTGATCTTCACATTGCGCTGCAATTTCAAGAACGCCTTTACTGCAACCAACAGAGTTACAATTCTTTGGAGTGATTATGCTGAAAAGTGAAATGCAAATTAAAATTAGACAATTTGTTGTATTAAAATGACATTTGATTACAAAAAACAAATCCAACATATGTACACTTACTCATCTCCACCATGACGCGCGTACTTTCTCAACAAGCGATCCACACACATTAATCGACGTTTTGCTGCCTGCATCGGCAGTACTTGCAACGGTTGTGTGGAGAGGAGCTGCATCGCTTGACGCCGCAAAAGCATCTTTCGATGAGTAATTTGGGTCTCTCGATCACTTGTTCCCTGCAAAATTGCATCTAAACTGCCAACACCTTTACCAGCTGCAGCAGCAAATACATCAACACCTTCCACTAACTGTATATTGTGGGTAATAAACAACCAATGTTTTTGGATGCAGTAAGGTAGGACTACATCAGAGGCCAACAAAGTTGTATCTGCTTCAATTTCGGCACTAGACATTTTTACTACTGCCACAGCATGGCAAGTCCGTTTTTTTTGCGAATTGGTGTTGCATTCTAACAAATCAATACCACTTACCACCATTTGGTTATCATATGTTCGAAACAATGGTCCCAATTTGTGGCTGCGCTTCTTTGCATACTGTAACAAATGATTTTTGTTACTTGACAAAGCCGTTGCTGTTGCAGATGATTTTCGTTTGGACGAGTTTTTGGCAGCAGCCGCTGTAGCTTTGACTACAGCGATTACATTTTGTGTATCGATTACTTTTTGCGGACTCTTTCCTTCGCTGCCAGCATTTTTAATAACTTCTCCTAGCTTGAGCAGGGGTTGTACAAGTTGAGCAGGGGTTGTAGTTTCATATTTCTGTGGTTGTGCCGATGTTGGAGGTGATGGCTTTGAAATGGAAGACATATTTTGCTGCTGGTTATGTATAGTGGCAGGTGGTTGGAGATGAGGTGTGTTGTATATGTGGGCAGGTAGCCTCGAAGTATCTTCGCTCGGCGCAATTTGGGTCGGTCTGGTGTGCGTGAAAACAATGTCGCGTAATACATGTGGAAAAGGCTGTAAAGTTGACGGCGGCAGAGTTACAGTTTTAGCGGCCATGACAGCTGTAGATATTGATTTAGATTTTGTCTTAGTCGAGCTCGTTTTGTTTATTATTTCAATTGCTGAACCCCTTCTATTCACCGATGTGTTGTCAACACTGCTACTTCTGGGACATGCAGTATTACTTACAGCGTTCTCACGTATACCGCCACTGAGTTGTGTGTGAAGCATTTCACTCGTTTGCGGCTTGCGAAATATAACATTTACTGGAATCTCATTCAAATCGGGATCGGAATGTTGGGGTGGTGAAATCGCCTGAATTGCCTGCAATGGAGGCGGTGCAGAGGGCATAGCCATAGAAGACTTGTGCATTTGCTTTTGCGATTGTGGCTGTTGAACCACATGTGCTTGCAAGAGTGCCGCTGTCGGTTGAATAACAGTTTTGGCACCTATGCCACTTAACTGTTGCTGTCGCTGCTGTGGCAACAAGGAAGGTTGGTGATGCTTCAGTGCTATGTCCTGCTCTTGAATATTTTGTTGCATTTGAATATGTTTTGTAGGCTTACCGTTAAGAACATTGCCCCCAGAAATTGGTTTCTTTGGCTTTTTAATGCATTCTAATTTTTGCAAATGCTGTGCCAGTGTATTGTGATGGAATTTAGATGGTGGCAATGTCGTCGCTGATACTGTAATCAGAGGGCTAACCATAGCTGTAGCAGCAGTAAACGGTAATGTTACCGAGGTGGGTGTTGGAGGAACCGCAATAGGGGGAGAGGGCAACGAAGCGGGTGATGTCGGTGGGCTAACCACCGCCGACCCCGTGTCCAATAGCAATGGCGTTTGCCATAGAGACGGGGTGTGCTGAAACAATGGCGGTGGCGAAGAGGCTTGCTTCCGCTGTGCTTTATAATTTTGTTGTTGTCGCACAGCTTGCGTCTGCTGTTGCTGCTGCTGCGGTCGCACTATGCACACATTCAAAGCTTTCTTATGCTGCTGATGCTGCTTCTGAGATTGCGAATTTGTTGTCTTTACAGTTGAAAGTGAAACCGCTTTTGAAGCGGCCGCTGCTGAGGGCCCATTGTGGCCCGTTGCAGCAGCCAACGTCGATGCCGTCTGCGTTTTTGTATTATTGCCATTCAACGGTCCCAATGGTAGTTTCTGATTGAATTTTAATTTTGCGTTGGTTGTAACAATTGGTGTTTGTCGTTTGTTGGTGACTGGTGAGCTGATTGCTAACGCCGCCGGCGTTGGTGTTGCTATGGTTGGAACTGCTGCGCTTATGGCTGGTGTTGGGGATAAACTTTGTATTGGCGTTGGAGTAGTTGTTATTGCATTCGCGTCTATGTATACCTTGCTTCGCGATTTCTACACATATATCGAAAACATATTCAATTACCGATAAAATGCGATTCTAGAAAAAAAATAATATTGGGAGCAATAAGCACCTGAGCGTTAAATAAAATGGGTGGCGTGGTTGGCACTGTTTCTGTGAACACATACGGATCCTGATCTTCAGATAAAACTGATGTTGCTGCTGTTGTAATTAGTCGTGATACGTGCTGACATGACATGTCCAAAACGACGGAGTCCTTAATATAATTTTCCGTTTTGTAGTCTTCGGTCGAGAACAATCGCAGTTGTCTTTCCTACTATATTGTATGCGGATTATTCTTATTCGATAAATACCTCTGCTACGTATTGCAATTTAAGTATTTTGTGCAATGGTTCAAAAGTATATATACAAAAGTACATCTGCCTAAAATCAAATAGTAAAGAAACATTTTAGAAGCTTGATTAGATAATAATATCTTTTGATTTCAGTTCCAGTTTATGCACTACTTTAACTAACTATAATTTTGAACTTTTAATACGAAACACATACATAAACTATACATATAGGTCGTGCGCAGATCGGGAATATTTCAGTGTCAATCAGCGCACATATCGATATAAATAGTTCCGTTAAAAAAAAAATACGGTACTACTGTTTATTGTTGCATTTTGGAAATTTGTAAACACTTCCTTTCCAATAGTAAAAAAAACTTCTCTTAGAGCACAGTAAATTTTATCTGAAATGATATATATTTTTCTCTTTAGCAACGATTTTCTTGAGTCGCGAATTCAAAAATAATAGCACAGTCTGCGAATTCTACGCGAAGTTTCTTTAACACTTATTTAGAATATTTAGTGAATAGAGAATTGAACTTTTTAAAAAATTATTAAGGGTCATCACATATGCACGTAAAACTATTGGCCGTAAGCGTTAATATTGTGTCTAAGCTTATCTTACTAAATATATTTTAAATTGGAAGGCAATAAAATGTATTAACATTCCGTGGGGGCTGAAATCAAAAATAATGGTGTATGGCTTAAAATCGTCGAATCTCAATCCGATTGAGAATTACAGACTGAGGTTAAAAACATTAACCCATTTATAGCTATTAGTCGATTTTTCGACAAGTAACTTTGAAAAATCGCCGAGTCGAAAATGAACGATATATGTCCTGGCAATATTTGTACAAGTATATCATGTTGCGTCTGCCTATGCCTGACAAAAAATGGTTATCTCGCTAATTTATTAATTTTTTAAACTTTTACTGTATAATTAAAAGTCCTATTTATCCCACATTTTTTTCAAAAATTCAGATTTAAAAAAGTTAAAAAAAAACTTTTCGATATATTGTGATCTTTGTCGCATATTTTACGCAAAATGTCTTTTTCACCTGATTGGTTGTAGTATAAAATGATGACGAATGTGCAAAATGCACTGGTCGATAAATCGACCACCGGTCGATGTTTCTGGTTTGTTTCTGGTGAACTCCAATGTTCAAGATGAATGATGGCCACTAATACATTATAAATTCAACACAATTTTTTTTGTGGACGTTATTAATTACTGCGTACTTTCACGAACAAGTTAACGTAGAAGGTATCATAATCAAAGCCCACAAAACGGATAGTCGCCTTACAGTTCATATAGTTTTTCGTGATTATGGAGCAGAAAATGTAATAATCGATTGAAAACTTGTTTCCAAGTCATGCAATATTCGAGAACTTTCTTGCTAGATATTTCTACAATGGAATTATCCAGAGGCTTCCTAGATCATGAAAATAAAAAGGAACCCTTCCAGGCAGGCAGTTAGTCGGTTGTTGTCCAGGAGCCTGAACAGGTCTTCCAGTGTGATTCGCAGGTATGCCCCCCTGCTGCGCGGTAGTGATGATTTCCATTCTTGAGGAATTTTTTCTTTCGGGTTTTTTCTTTAAAACGCCATAACTGCCAAAGTACAGAGCCCAAAGTACACTGCAATCCGGACTATAACGGGATGCCTCTTGATGTCTTTAATCAAACATCTATACAGTGAAGCCCTTATTCTTCCGGTTAAGGAACATAACGAGCTCATCTCCAAGCAGTTTCTGCTGAGATGTTTTCGCAGAAACCACCCCTGTAGTCGTCTGCTTGAAGCAGAACCGCCTCTCATGAACATCAAGAGGCCCTCCTTAATTACATCGACGACATTGGACAGTACACCGACCAGACTTCGGACGCAACGAACTTAAGACATGCACTGACCGCCATTCACAGTGGAGTCAACAACACATTTCCGACTCCCTCCCAGTAAATGGCGTACTTGAAGTCAAACCACCACCCATCGCAGACGAAGAGCTCGAGTTGCAACGAGAATCTAGAGTGACCCTCGCGCAACTTCGTTCTGGATAGTGTAGCAGGCTAAACTCCTACTTATCCAGAATCGACCCCAACATACCAAATATATATCCTGCATGCAACGAGTCTCCACATAATACTAGCCATCTCTTTGCATGCCCAACGAACCCCACCCATCTAAAAATTGTCACAACAACAAAAACAACAACAGAGATTGAGGAGATACGGATACGGTCGACTTAGTGCTCTTGCCTCCAGAAAATACAGATGCAGTAAGCGGCTCGGAAAATATCGATGAAAGTGCGTTTCTGTCTAATGAAATAGCTGGCGACATTGAAATATCGTGCGCGCACAATGAAGGCAAGCCAAATGCATCAATCGATTGCGACGAGACTGAGGAACATTATGGGTGCGAAAATCACAAAATTGATGATAGTGATAAGTTCGCCAAAGTGACCCCGTGTAACATTTGTTTGAATGAGAAATTCATGCAATTTGGCATATTTTCACACAATCTATCTATCAAAGGAAAGCCCATTCGATTTGGTTTCAAAATAAAATATAATATTGATATGGCCATATAGCGTAAGAGCATACAATAATCGAATGGATGGCGTTAATCTCTTCGATAATGCCATGAACAATTATTGAATTCGTATTGAAGGCAATAAGTATTGGCCACTAATAACAAATGGAAAATGGTGAACGCTTAGAAAATTCATTGTGAGAAGGCAATGTCACGCACCACCAAAAGATCTATGACACAAAAAACAGAACCATTGGATCAATTACAGTTCCATATTTAGTTGCAGAATGGCAATACCGTCGATTTCGACTTCCGAGACGTTTATTCCACAGTCAACAGCTGTTCGAAAATGCAAATACACAGCTCTGGAGAGTGTTCGTAAAGACAAAGTTTGCCAAATTTTGCATTGACATTGAATTAGAGAAGCCTCGTCGTAGTCAAAATTGTCGCAAACATTCGTCTTAAAAATGCACCAAATGCGATGTAGTATTAAATGTTTTATGTTTCAGTCAATTCCACGAGATATGAAGTTGAGATATTAATTTTTCAATTACAATAAATTCTTTCAAAACTTACTTCTGATATGTATATTTTTTTCATTTTATATAAAATGTAATATCAAATTGAAACATCGAACAAAATAAATGATAAATACTAATAATTCATGATAAAATATAATATAATAGTTAATAAAAATTGACAAATATTTATAATCATTGATTTATCGATAGTTCATCAACTATATATGGCGCGTTTTTGATCGGAGGCACCGGTTGACCTGAAGTGATGCTGTGACCGCGCGCTCTAAGCCCTCTATCTCGAAAACGGTTCACCGTATGAAAAAAATTTTTAAACAAAATTTGTAGAGAATTTTGTATTCTACAATATTGATAATAAATACCAATAGCAAAAAACCCATAGGAAATGAGATATTTACAAAAAAAAGCGCAAAAGACCGATTTTTGTGACTTTTGACCTTGAAATTTAATAGTTGCGTACACCCTACCATATGTAGGTTTTGAGACAACTTTTAGGGTGTCAATATACAAGTATTTACAGACTTACAGACGTTCCCATTCCCACGACAATCGGGTCTACGTAACCGGAACGGAACCGGATTTTATTTGGCCAAAGACTTTCAAATTGGCAGAATTCTGTCGCTACAGAAACAACAACAACATGTTATACCCAACAGTAATGGTAATTGGTAAAGTACCAACCTCTATTAGAGGCTTTCTTTACAAAAACTAAAGGTAAGTGTGATATATTAATCAAATATCGCAACATTATGATTTTATTTTTTTTCCACACTATACATATGAGCATATACATACAATATACTGCGTTGACATGGGGACTCTTTTGACGCTCATTATCGACAAATTCTTCTTTGGTGTCGCTCTGTGCATTCACACGAGCAAAAAGAGTCCAGCAACTCAAATCGCGTTTTTCTGTCACTCCTTTTCATAAAATTTTCCTAAATGTTTGTGCGGTTCGGCTACGCGACACTTAGAGCGTGTTGCATAGTTCATTTATATGTTGGTATTGTGGTCTCACATTTTTCTTTTAAGGAATTACCATGAATGTGGTAGAACCATGTGCATAATACCCGCTCAATATTTTCAAAGAAATACTTAAGTCGGTAATTCCCTAATCCATCAGAATGTATTTAATACCCGCTACTAATATTTTCAAGGCCAAATTTATAACAGGAATTTCCTAATTATTAAAAGTATTAAAAATCCATAATTTGTTCTACTTATTATAAAATATTCTTAAAGTACTTATAATTCTTGTTTTAAATAAAATTATATTCGAACTAAATCCTTTAAAAGAAACAATATGGAAGCATCTTAATATTTTATGTAAATATAAAAAAGTAGTTACCATTTTTCTTAGAATTGATTTATGTATACTCGTATATTATTACATTTAATTCCGCAATATGTTATTAAAAATTTAAATTAAATAAATTTGAGAATCTTGATTTTCTCCTTATTCACAATTTTTTAAAATGTTTCTGTTATTCTATGCCTACATATTTGCTTATCACATACAAAAAATAGATAACGGAATTCAAATTTCTCAACGAATGGTATATATTCATTTGAAACCGAGCGCTCTTGCAACCATGACAAGAATTTGAAGCGAGCTATTACGAACAACACAAAGCATGTCACCCGAGCACGAGTGGCACGGTCCCTTCGTCTTTCCTCGTCGTCACCTCGCCCACAATCAACCGATTTGGGTCACAAAAGAGTCGATGTGTGAACTGGCACATACATAGCTTATAGCCGTCTTCGATTCGCTAAGCGTTAGAGGGAGGCTAATCGAACAAACTATACGAGATGTTAAGACAAGTAGGCAACACTTGCCGCGGAATCCTGTGATTGTGTTGCGATTGTTTCTTTGGTGGAGAAATTGTTCGTTTCTTGTCAAAAAATGTTTTAGTACGCCTTTAGGTTTGTTTTCTAGAAATAATTATAATTTATTTTAAGTTTTAATAGCCCTAATTTGTCATTTGAGCCATTCACAATAGTAAAACTGATCTAAAATATGCAAAACAAAACTTGGTAGCATTGAAGATAGCGGTTATACCACTTTAATGAACCCTCTAATATGAATACAACTCGATAACTTTGTCGTTGCTTTTAGAGCAGCGCGCAAAGATAGCGAGCAGAGAAATGGCGAGTCGAAGACAACCCATATAAAGTTGATTTCAATACCGGGTTCATATTCTCATAGGTTTCCATTTATGTATGTATTTATATACTCATATGTACATATGTACATATGCACATATGCATACAATTGTGGCAAAAAAAGTATCAACTTAAATTTTATTGTTGTTGTTGCACACACTTGTGCTGTTCTTGCCTATCGGCTACACTTACAATTGTTTCTGCATTTATGACAAATATATGAATACAAACAATGAAAATAATATTGAATCTACTCGAATAAAAGCAGACACTGCCCATGCAAGTCTGCTCTACTCAACAGATACCGTCACTATCGCAATAGAACGCACACACAGTATGTTATATTAGAAAACACGAACATAAACCGAAATTCCGACAGAAAAAAAATAAAATCGAAGAGTCATAATAACAAAGCGAAACGTAAACAACGGCAGCAACGAGTGCACAGCACAGAAAACTGCAGAATGAACGCTCAAAGCTGAGCCGAGCGCAAAGCTTCGATCAGCTCAGATCGGTTTTAGGTACCGCTGAGTGGATGCGAGATACAGCGCTGTATTCCACGCGCACTTTACTATTATACTGTTCTGTCCGAATTTGGTTCGAATATAATTTTATTTAAACCATAAAATTTAATTAATTAATGTAAAAAGAAAGAAAATAAGGCGTAAAAAATATACGGGTATTTAATACTTCCCGGTAGATTAGGAAATTCCCGTCATAAATTTGGCCTTCAAAATATTAACATCGATAATTTAAAAATTCTGATGGATAAGGGAATTCCCGTCACAAGTTTTCTCTTGAAAATATTAATAGCGGATATTTTAAATATTGTTATATTACATTCATAGTAATTTCTTGTAAGCAAAATATGAGACCACGATACCAACATACAAATGAACTATGCAACACTCGAGTCGGCGCCGAAAAACGCTTCAAAAATGTTTTCTCGCATTGACCAGCTCCGGCTCCCACTCTGCGCTGCCTGTGCGATTGCATATGAAAATGTACGCGTACAATTTTGAAGCTGATTTCTCGCATTCGTTGTTTTTGAGCTCGGCATCCACTCTGCAGGCACCCTTAGGCACGGTATATACATAGACACATATGTATATATACATACATATTTGAATGACTAAACAATGGGAACAAATGCGAACATCAATATACTAACGCCACTCGTCGTATAGTTCCAAAACAACAAGCATATCATCTCCCCTCCTACTTGTAGTTAAACACCACCGTATCTACTTCTCTAGATGTGAATTAAAACCTTACGCGTTAACAGTGAAAACAATTATTTTCTAGCTTCCATAAAATATATTGAATAAGATCAAATTCTTAGCGATTAAATAGTTACATATTTTAGTGAAGTAACTTTGTTGGTATCATCGACTTATGTAAAAAGACTATATTACGTTATATTTTTTAAATTTATTGTTAAAATTACTACATTTTTCGATTCAAACAGTTCAACAGTTATTGCTATAACAGTTATCTATAGCAGGGGTGCCCGCGCAATAGCTCACTTGGCTCCGAAAACATCAACAAAAAACAACATATTTTATCGTCACTTATTCACTGCTAGCTGACATTGCCAGGCATTAACCAAGCTATAGAAAACATTGCTTTATGGTTAGTTCGGTAAAAATATAGTTTTGAGTCGACGTATTTTCGGACCTTCTGAGAATGTAATTTTTGGTCCCCCTAATCTATAGGAAAGAAAAGTTTACAAATTTGTAGTAAAGTATTCAATATCAGGTGAAGTGGACAATAAGAGATATTGTCTATTATAATACTCCGGACATTTCTCAGTGATTTACAGTTGCGTATATATTTTCTGTGTATATTTAGTATTGTTGCCGTATTCTCATTTCTACGACTTCATCATTTGTTTCTAACTTTTGCGATAACAATGCAGTACCTACGCTCACTTCAGACGCTATATACACAAAGAAATATTTGTAATGCAATAAAAGTTCGATAAGTTAACTGGTAGTTCGACATAACTGCTACGCACTTATATAGGACATACATACATATATACATGGAGATTTACATAAGTGTATTAAGGTATTTATAAACCGTATGTTTGCACATTTAAAGGTGTTACGTTGATACAACGTGACCAGTTGATACTAGACTCAAATCCTCTTTGTAATCAAATTGGAAATTTCGTCTAGATGTATATTAACAATTTTGTGCATGAGAAAATATCCATATGTATGTTTATATAGCAAATATACTAAAATTTACATATGAATTTTCTAAATACAAAATACTATTTTATAAACATGTATATACATACATACATGCCTCTGCTAATGGTAGGCACCTTGCCGTGGTGAAAAGGCTTAAGTCGCAAGACATTCTCCGCATCTCCCAACCGGGGTGGGTAGTGCTGCCCAGCACCTCTCACACGGGTTGTCAGATGCCGCATGCGTGCGGCAACCAAGAGCTGCCACCTCCTAAACCAGTGTTATGCGACTCCCCGTGCCCATTGGATCATGGGGCTCTGGCGCGGCGGACTTTTGTGTTCCCCTTATTGCACGTCGAGCCAAGCGTCGTAAGAAAAAGATGACTCACAAAACAACCACAACGATAAGACAACAACATACGCTATAATACGAACAACGGCTAAACGCAAGTTGGCTCTTGCGCCAGAGGAGCGAGCGCTATTCGAGGAGCATGCCAGGGACGAGGATGACGACATGCCCTCGTTCAGCGGCGCTCAGCACGCGAAATACATTACGGCCGTAGCTGACTAAACGAACTCCACCAAGACTCCCTCGGGCAGGATGAGCTGCTCGGATTCGGATGAATCGCAACGAGCAACTACCGGAGGGGCTCGCCAAAGAAAAAGGAAGAGTGGAAGCAGACTTCCCTCTCTACCACCAACTTGGTGTCCCGACGGACAAGACGACCCCAGAATAAACGGCATGAGCGGTAGAAGCCGAAAAGCTCGCGCGTAACAGGGTGAGAGGCAACAGTGCCTCCCCTGCCTCGGATAAGCGGAAGGGAGGCAATACCGCCAAGATCTGCTCTTGGAGGAGGTATTCAGGGGGTCTGGATACACAGCTTTCTTCCATGGAGTATACTTCAAAGGTGGCATGCTGCAGTTGGACTGCAAGGATAGGTCTGCTAGCTGGCTGAGGGAGATCGCTCTCAAGCTGGTAGGCTGGAATGGCCCAGTCCTCTGCGCAAAGAAGGGAGACGACATTCCGCCAATCCAGGTGCGCAGGCAATCCTTATTACTTCGGCCAGGCGAGTGGTAAACAGCAAGGTCGAGGATTCCGGGTGCAGGCTCAACCTCTGCATAGACGACAAATCGCAAACATTCGTCCAGAAGAAGAGTTTCCGCCTGAACTATAGGTTCAGCTCGGAAGTTATGAAGTCATATAAGCCTAAGACGACTACCGAAAACGGAGCAGGGGAAAAGATGCTGGTGGATGAGGATGCTACTTAACCCGGCGCTAGTACGTCGAAACAGGCGGCAACTGCTGAGACCATGGGAATAGTCACTATCGAGAAGACAGACGCACAAGCGGGGTGCTACCCTCCACGCAAGAGCTTCTGGAGGGACTCACGGACCTAGAGTATGGCAACGCTGAGGGCGGTGAGGATGAGGACCAGTTCCTTATGGA